AAGGAGAGAAGGAAGGAAGGAAGGAAGGAAGGAAGGAAGGAAGGAAGGAAGGAAGGAAGGAAGGAAGGGAGGAAGGAAGGAAGGAAGGGAGGAAGGAAGAAGGGTAATCACAATCTAATATAAAATTTAAAACGCATTTCCTTAAAAATACAAATGGGGGAAAACCCACTGTGAATCCTGCCCCCAGCCCCTTACACAATAGCCTTTGTCATCAAGCAGGTGTGAGGGGGTGGCAGCCTCTTCCCAGAGTCCAGCTCACATATCCAACTGCCTATTCAACATCTCTCTGTGGATGTCTAATGGCCTCTCAAACCAAATGTGCCCAAAAACACACTCTCAATTTGCCCTCAAATCTTGCTCCTCTCCAGTCTCCCCATTTCAATAAAGGCACCACCCAGGGGCTCGGGCTACAGATCTGAGTTAAGCCTTGATTCTCCTTTTTCTCACCCTCCACATCCTGTCCTTGAGAAATTTCTGTGGGCTCTACCTTCAGAGCATATTCCTGTAGAGGCCACGGCTCACCACCAGCCACCACCTCCTGGCCCCTGACTGGTCTCCCTGCCTCCACGCTGGCCCTATTGTCACCACTCTCTCCCAAACAGCCAGAGTGATCTTCCTGGGATACAAAGCCAGAAGCCATCATTCTCCTCAAAACTCTCCACTGACCTCCCATGGCACTTCAAGGGCGAAGTCCAGCCCCTCAGCATGTCCAGCAAGGCCCTCTGAGATCCGGCCTGCACCTCCACCTCTTCAATTTGATCTCCCCTTTCAGCCCCAGATCACTGGGCTCCAGCATTCTGTCGTCCTTGCCCTTCCGGGGACACACCGAACGTATTTCCACCTCCAGGCTTTGCACTTACTTAGCTGTTTTCTCTGCTATTTATTGCTCCCTTACTCATCCAGCTCTCTGTTCAAACATCACTTCCTTGGAGTCCCCAACCACCCCCTCTCCAAAATAGCAATCCATCTGTACTCTCTCCCTTTGCCCTGCTTTATTTATTTTTCATGGCAGTGTTGAAAGACGGAGTAAATGAATAGCAGAATTGCACATTAAACAAACATCAAGACACCACGTCACCAAAGCCCACAGTTTGTACCCACTGAAGAGGTACCCAAAGCTTTTAGTACATCCATCTTTGACCCGTCAGTCTCCCCAGCATCTTCATGAGAAGGGAAGAGAAGGCAGGCCTCTGACCCTGACCAGCTCCACTTGATAGATGCTGTTTCAAAAGCCCCTGCTGGCTGGTTTGGCTCAGTGGATAGAGCCTGTGGACTGAGAGGTCCTGGGTTCGATTCCGGTCAAGAGCATGTACCTTGGTTGCAGGTACATCCCCATTCCCAGTGGGAGGTGTGCAAGAGGCGGCTGGTCAATGTTTCTCCCTTATCATTGATGTTTCTAGCTCTCTATCCCTCTCCCTTGCTCTCTGTAAAAAATCAATAAAATATATTAAAAAAATAAATAAATAAAAATCCTATGTAATAAAAGCCTAATATGCAAATTGTCCCCTCAACTGGGAGTTCGACCAGGAGTTCAACCAGGGGCGGGGCCAGCAGCAGCAGGTGTGGGGGGGGGGGAAGGGAGGGGCCCCCTGCCAGCAGCTGCTAGGGACCCTACCCATGCACGAATTTCATGCACTGGGCCTCTAGGAAATAAATAAATAAAAAGCCCCCGAACTTCACCTCCCTCTGCCTTTATGCACTGGGTAGGAGTTTCCTCACCCTAGATGCTCAGTACAGCCAAGCAGATGCATTTGGCCTGAGAGAGAACATCCTGTGTTCCAGGCACCTGCGTAACTGTTCCTATATTCCAGAAGCAGAAACGGGGCCCAGGAACGGACCCTCTTGCTCAAGATCACACAGTGAATCAGTGACCAAGCTGGGGTTAGAAGCCCAGCTCAGGTTGACCTCCAAGCTGCCTTGGCCTTCTTGGGGGGGCGTGGTGCACACACAGACGCCCACTCTTTGGACAGCAGAAGAGAGATCAATGTCTGGAGCTTAGGGAGGGAGAGACGAGGGAAGGAGTCCTGAGCTGGGGTGCGACTGTGTCTGCCAGACCCAGAGTGTGACTTCATTCATGCAACAAATCAGGTCTGTAAGGATTGTCTCTGGCCCCGCTTGGGGCCTCAGCTTCTCCATCTATCCAAGTGTAGATGGCACACAGGAGCTGGCTGGCATGGGCCTCTATAACCGCCCCAGCAGAGAGGCCAGACTGGCTCCTTTCTGGAGCCTCTTTGCTCATCATGTCTGGCAATGTGGAGCCCTTGCCAAGCCCAGGAGGCAGAGCTGGGACAGGTGGGCACTGCCGGGCTGGCTCTCCCTGGCTGGGGCTTATAGTGCGACTAATCGCAGCCCCTCCTCCCTACCTCCAAACCCCCATTCTGTGACTATCCCAGTCATTCAGGATGGCAGCAAGGAACAGGCGAATGGTTTGCTTAGAACTGTTGTTCTCAAACTGTAGAGGCATCAGAATCACCTGGAGGGCTTGTTAAAAGGCTGATGTGTGGGGCCCACTCCTAGAGTGCCTGCTTCAGTAAGTGTGAAGTGGGGCCTGAGAATCTGCTTTGCTACAAAGTTCCCTGGTGATGCTAATGTTGCTCCTCTGGGAACCACACTTTGAAAATCACTGACTTGGCTAATGGGAGTGGTTATGGCTGACCAGTTATTAGCTACCTCAAGGCTTTTTAAACAACTGTATTCATTGCCTTATCCACCTCTCTCCCCCCAACACGCCCAGCCTAGCTCAAATCATTGCCCAGAAGCAGCCACAGAGCAGGGGAGCGAGGAAAGCCGTTCTGGGGAGGAGGGTATCATGCCAACATTGGCTTTCCCCCTGATTCCTCTGTGAGCCTGTAACTGCTCCTCCTGGCCCAGGGTTCCTGTTGGCCAGGCGCTGTGCCAGGCCCTCTGCATGCATATTCTTCATCACTCCTCGCGACTCCATGAGAGCGGTCCTGTAACCACCCAAGGCAGACCCACGAGGACCTGAGGGCTCAGAATGCTGTGCTATGATGGTTGCACAACTCTATGAATATACTAAAGCCATTGAATTATACACTTTAAAAGGGGGATTATGGAAGGTTATTTCAAAGGGAAAAAGCAGGAAGAAAGTTATATTAGGTTGTCCAAAGTTATCAGGCTGGGACCTGAACTGAAGTCCACCAGGACCACCAGCCATACTATCTCTCGGGGCCTCAGTTCCCTGACTGCAACACGTGATGGGGTACGTCAGCCTTATGACTCTCTAGCAATGGGGTAGAGGGAGGTCAATCCTGAGCTCAGTTCCAGATTCTCTGAGATGTTCCCTGAAGAAACAGATGCCTGAAGGCTAGACACTTGGGGATATGGTGTGTGTGTGTGGGGGGGGAGGGGGTGTTTACACAGCAGAAAATAGGTTATCACCTAGTCCGGTGGTGGGCAAACTCATTAGTCAACAGAGCCAAATATCAACAGTACAATGATTGAAATTTCTTTTGAGAGCCAAATTTTTTAAACTTAAACTATATAGGTAGGTACATTGTTATTAACTTAATTAGGGTACTCCTAAGGCTTAGGAAGAGCCACACTCAAGGGGCCAAAGACCTGCATGTGGCTCGCGAGCCGCAGTTTGCCGACCACGGGCTTAGCCTCTCAGAGCCACATTCACTTAAGAAACTTTAATTATTATCTATGCACAGCCAGGTTTATTGTGAAGCTAGAAATGAATAATCCAGGCCCCTCAAAAATTAACCAAGTCTCACACAGCAGTGGCATGATGGACAAGGTGATGACAGTGTGCCCAGGGGGTAGGGGAACCCAAGGCAGCTTTAGCAGAGACAAAGTGGGGGGATCAGGGAAGACTTGTTGGAGGAGGTGACAAGTTCAGGAGTGAGGGTGCCCCAAGCAGTGCAAGCCCAGGGCAGCCAGCAGCCAGCAGTTCTGGATGGTGATGGCTCCAAATAAAGGGTCTCTGGGGAAATCAGACAGGGCCAGACCCAGGGGCCTTGAGTGGCCCCCTCAGGCATTATGAACATTATCCGGAAGGCAATGGGGGGCCATTGAAGAGTTTTAAGAGAGAGAATGACAAGGCCTGACTTGTGTTTCAGGACCACCGCTCAGGGGCAGTACGGAGTGTGGATTAGAGGAAAGGCAAGTCGAAGGCTCTACAATAATTCAGATTATACAGAGATGATGGTGGGGGCACTAAAGAGAAGTGGATGGTCTGGAGAAAGTTTGAGGAAATAGGACTTTTTGGTGATTACCTGGGAGAAGGACTCATATTTGAGTGGGCACCAGGATGGTGAAGACACCGTGTGCGAACTATGATGGGAGACCCCCGTAGAGGAGCGGCGTGGGGGCGGCGAGTTCCACTGTGGACGTGCTGAGGTGGAGAGGACCGTGGGACACCGGGCAAACACTCAGGAGGTGTGAAGAGAGAGACCTGAGCTGGAAATGCAGACTTGGGGGACATCAGGGTAGAGGTGGTAACTGAGGCCATGGGAGCAGCTGAAGCAGTCCAGAGAGCATGTGGCGAATTTAGAGGAGGATCCAGGGGAACTCCAGATGGGAGGAGAGACCCTCCACCCAGACTGGGAAGGCACAGCCAACGAGATGGGAAGGAAGCAGGAGAGAGAGGAGCCAGGCCAAGAGAAGAAAGTGTTCCACGGAGGAGGGAATGGACGACAGTGTCAAATGCTGCCGAGAGGTCAAGCGAGATAAGCCTGAAAAATGTTCACTGAAGTTGGTCACTGGGTACCTGGGCAAGGGCAGCCTCGGAGGAGGAAAGGCCTGGAGCAGGCCCAGCCAGGGTGGGAAAGGGAGAGGGCAGTGAGGACGTGGAGACAGAGTGTAGGTATAACTATTTTAAGAAGTTTGACGCAGAGAGTAGTGGCTGAGATCGGTAAGCTGGAGAAGGATACAGAGCACAGGGAATTTTTTTTTTTTTTAACACAAGAGAGGCAGGTGGAAGGAGAGAGGGAGAAGTTGAGAGGTGGGAGAGAGAGGGAATGCCAGTGAATGTTGTCCCCAGGGCAGCAGAGGACAAAGGGCTAGTGCTGAGCAGAAAGGACCTAGCCAGCTTCC